CCCCCCCCCCCCTGTGGAAGCCACGCGTGTCGATTTTTCCAACGTTCCACGAGATATTTCACTCGTTAACGTGCCGGTAGATCGCGCTGGAAAATCATTACGCGCGATAAACTGTGTAAACGCGAAACTCTTCTTTCCCGCACCATATATTCTTTCCTTGTCTTCTCTCTCTCTCTCTATCTCTCCCCCTCTCTCTCTTTATCTACTCCACCATCGCGAAGCGCGCTCGCTCGCGCAAACGCGCACGCTCCTTTCGAGATCGAGAGAATAGAGAAAACAAGGTTGCGGCTCGATCCGGTCTCGTGTACAGAAGCATCGTCTCGGAACGGTGTCTCGGAGGAAGCGCAGCCGCGACGATTCGATCGCGACAGACTTCGAAATACCGGAAACCGTGACGATGCTTCGCGCCGCTTGGACCTACGTAACCTACCACTACGCTCGCAGCTTCGTCGCGTCGCAGTCGACCGTGATCGATCGATTGGTAAATCCACGAGAAAGGGAACTTTCCATCGAAGCTTTTCCGATTATAACGAACAACGCGCGACCTACCTTCGGGTTTCATCGGCGCGTAACAAACGCGACCTACGAAAATCAGACCCGTTCGATATTTCAACGCGGACGTTTATCGGTTTAACGACAGCACGCGCAATGTACAGTCGCGTACATGCGAGCTCGCGACTCGGCCGCGTGCACACACACGCGCACACACGCACGTACACAATCGCACACGATGAATCGTGCATTCGATGACAGTTCTCTCGCGACGTTGATCCCGACGACGAATCGGTTCCTCGACGTGGACAACGCGGCGCGTTACCGAGCACACGCCGTTTCTTTCCGAGTGTACGCGGTAATGAAGGGAATACCCTACGAGAAAGTGCGCAACGAACGAATAGACGCTATTCCGTTCTCGCGGAGCTCGCGCGCAACCGTTCGATCGGATAGGAATCGTAGAGGGAAATAGGATCGACGCGGACGAAGGATAAAAGTCCACTCGACTAATCGAACCGTTTGCTACGTTTACAGGATGGTGGTGTACAAGAGGCGGCATTACTACGTTCCTGGGCCATCCACGATGCCGAACAAGAGAAAAGTGATCTCGCCGAGCGGAAATCTTTACCGAAAGAGGATCGCCTACACCGAGCTAAAGGATATGAACAACGATTGACGATCGCTGCTCTTTTAGAGAGCCGATTCGTTTAAAGCGACTCTTACAGCGCGACAAGAGCACACGAAGACGAGGGTAGAATAAACGGAGCAGCGTAGGCGGGGAAAGGACAATCGACGAGGAAGAACGGATTTGGTCGATCACTGCCGCTACCGTAACTTCTACCACCGTCGAGATCGCGATTCCGTTTCTCGTCGAGATCTATAGCAAGCTGGCTGACCACAACCCGTTCGCGTATATACAGTTTCGGATCGTTCTCGCGACAACGCGAATATTCTCTAGCACTCGGAGTAGCGCTCGTGAGTAGTAGCGCAGGTGAGTCTAGCGTTCGTGTCCAGTGTCTTTGCTCGGTTTTTCGTTCGGTAAGAATCGCTCGAGCGTTCGTTTCACACGGGGAAGGTGAACACGGAGCAACGGTGACGGTGACGGTGACACGGTAACGACTCGTTTTATCGGCCGCCAATATACCAAAGTACGAAAGCTCGACTTTTCCGAATCGACGAAACGGGTATATGTAACACGGGAGACGATGTCGCGAGACGATTCGGAACGCGACTGAGAAAAACGCCGGACGAACACAGCGGACAAAGCTCGTTTCCTCGCGCGCGCATCCGCTCGTCCACGAATTCTCGCATCGACGCGAGTTCGACGAGTTCTCGTGCTCGCTATATTGTCCTCGAGTCCCACTACTACGCCGTTTCCCTTTCCCATTTCCACCTTACGCGCTTGGCCTAAAGAGTGTCTCGTTCCACTGTTACGCGACAACCGTATCCGACACTCGCGAACGCGTGTATATATTTTCGATAAACCCATCGATAAGGCCAATAGAGTGTACTGTTAGGAGAGGATGCGACGCGTGGATCGTGTATACTCGTCGAAACGCCGCAGGTGTGAACATGGGACTGTGCAAATGTGAGCGCTCTACGTACTTGCGCGTGCCTTGTTTATAGGTGAGTTTAGATCATCGGTTCACGATACCGGAATTAAAATTGTCGGTAAAAATGTTGTATTCTTGCGGATGTTTTTGTATAAAGAAAAATCCGTTTAACCGCTTTGCGCGTTTAATAGAAGCGACAATGAGTGGTACGTAGCACCGTGTTTCGTTCTCGTTTGCATCCACGCATCCATGCGTCCGAGCTGATTGGCTCGATGAATCGCGATGATGCACGATGCGTACTCTCGGTACTCTATCACTATCGGTCGCTCAAACGATCAGGGACGAGGTTTCGCGAGAATTGACCCCAACCGTCTTTCGTATCGAATCATCGTCGTTTCGCGATCGTTCTCGTCGCGTTTGCTTCGTAAATATTATCGAATCGAACAGAGAAAAAGGAAATACGCGTCGTTTCTCTGTTCTCACTTGTAAATAGTAACGCTGTATTTCCATCGTTCGATGCGTCGGAATCGATGCGAGAAACGAGACGGAACGAATCCGCGAAACAATCTCGATCGTTGTTTCGGCTTTGGAATCGCTCCACGGATAGATTTACCGACGAAAGTTCGATGAAAAACGAGTACGAATCGCGAAACTAACCACCAACGGGGTACGATCGATTTTTGATCAACAGAGCCGGATGCACGCGTCGACAGACGAATCCGAAGATCGCGAGCGGTTCGAGTTACGCAGCATGCAAACCGTGTGCGATCATTTGTCGCCGAGCATCGATCAACGAGCATTGCGTTTTAATGAGTTTTAACACTATCGGAGCCATTAGTTTTACCGTGAGCGACGCGAACATATGTATAGATAGATAAATAAATAGATAGATAGGTAGATATATAAATAGATAGGTAGAGAATTTTGTGTTGCGAATAAACGAAAACGCGCGTTCGATCTTCCCGCGAATCGGTCCAAGACCGATGAAGCAGGATATTCGATGTTTTACACTCGTGCAGGATGATGCGTCGTGAATCGACCACTGTGCGACGCGCAGATCATTTTCGACGAGCAGGATTTTAGGAAACTGTAATTATATACAGTCGCGTCGACATTCTAAGTCGAAGCTTACCATTTTAGCGAAATAACGACTGAAATTATGTAATAAAGCTCTAGTTCTTCGAGATATCTTACGCATTATGGGTTTTGGTAATTACGTAGTTTAGCGATTTTTCTTTCTAAAGTCTTTATTGTGTCGCTAAAATGAAGAATCAACCGGGAAGGGGGGCCAAAAAACTAATTTATTTCTCGATATTCTTTTTTTATTTTTTTTTTTTTTTTTTTTTTTTTTTTTTAAGCGGTAATTATGCAGCTTGGCGAATTTTTCGAATCTTGCGTATTTCGATTCGATTCTTTTTAAATATTTATTATACCGTTAATCGCATCGGTTACGATATATTTAAGATTAGGTTTAAGATGTGCTAGCTTCTGTCCAGTCGCCGAGCATAATATCGACGAAGTAAAAACTAGCCTAACTTCTTAATTCTATTAATTCATTTTTCCTGTCTCAGTTGCGCGTTAACCGCGTGACGTTACTAATTCATTATGGCACGCGCCATCGGCGAACTTAAATCGTAAAGTAAGGGGTTAATACGTTGCGATTAGGTTTTACTTCGTCGCCGTACGGACACTCGTTTGCGACCTGAAGCGAGCGCTATACCTATTTAGACTCCCTCTTTCGAAAAATACCTTACGTTTTTCAGTTGCCCCGCTTGATAAATCTTCAAAATCAGGGAAAGCTGCTAAACTGCATAATTACCTGAGTTTTTACCGCTGAAGACGTTGTTGTTCCACAACCAAAAGGAAACGGACGATATCCGTGTCTCTTATTTAACTAGTTCGTGCTATTTTCACTTATTTATGTCGTTCGTCTTTAGAAGCGTCGTGATGCATGCGTTTCCTGTGGTTACTTTACGGAATCTCGTCGCGGTAAGAAACACGCGTTTGCTTTACCATCGCGCGAACAATCTTTATATATCGACAACACTCAGCCCTCGCGACAACGAACGGGCCGAGAATCCTGACACGCGTTGTGTATATGTATGATACTTTAATCATTGTGATACTTGAAAATAAGTAGCTACCCACGTGCCGTTATATATTAGGTCTCTCTCTCTCTCTCTCCCTCTCTCTCTCTTTCTATCATCCCCGCTCTCCCTGTCTCTTTTATTCGTCCTCCCACTTCAAGTTCCTTTCCTTGCTCCTTTCGTTCGCATTTCGCAAACGAAACGAACATCGCGTCTCCATTTTGCTCGAGATGGAACGACTCGAATCACGGATTCGTAAAATCATGGAAGGAATTTTGTTCTTTTCGATCGCGCGACGGTTCATAGCTGACATACGTATATACATACATATACGCGTCAGGTGAATGATGGCGGAAAATCGAATTTGAATTAGTTCGAACGCGATACGAGTATTTTTGTAATTCTTAGAGAAATAGAATCTCGTGCGAATACTTGTACTTGTGATGCGTATTTTCATGATATAACGTAACAAGGAATGTCGAAATCTAGAGATAACTGTGACCGTGCGAAATATGTACACGCGTGCGTACACTCGCACGGATATGCTCGTTACAAAAGAAAAAAAAAGAAAAAAAAAAAAAAAGAAAAAGAAAAATGAGACACAAAGAAAGAAAGAGAGAAAGAAAAAAGTACCAAATGATACGCTGGCGTATCGTTTCGAAGTTTCTAAAAAGATTGCCGAATTCGTCTCCCGTCTTTCCTTCTTTTTTCTTTCTTTCTTCGACGTACATGTACATGTATCAGCAAATGTATATTTTAACAAAATATGCTCGTTTGGTAAATAAAGTTCAAAAGAAAAGAAACGAAAAAGAACGAGGGAAAATAGTAGAGGTTAGTTTCCGCCGTGATTGACGAGAGTAAACATTGACTACACTAAAACAACGTTATCCTGATAGATTACTTGTATTTGTTTATAATATACCACATAACAACAAGGGAAAATACTGAATTAAACGAGGACATCTTATTTCGTGTATCACACGTGGATACCAGTCACTCGACATTTTCGCGACAGATTCTCTTGTTTATTGGCAAAATACGATTTAATACTTGTCACTGGTAAGTTTGTACGATCTCGGTGGAGCTGCTAGACTGCTGGACGCCATATTAAATCGCGATTATTCTCGATTATCGACTCGCGAATCCACCGGTAACGATACAACGAATTTTTCTTTGTCACGAAACAAAACGTTCGAATATTCCCGAAAGATCGTTATTCTTCTCGATGCTGCGCAACAGTCATCGCTAATGGAAAGAAAAAGGAGTGAACGCGTGCGTTAAACGGTGTGCAAATTTCTCTTCGTATCATTTCGTCTTTACCTGAACGACGATTCATTGCGTTTCATTTAATCTGATATGATATGATATCATTGTGTTGCGTTACATCGATTAAAAATGGCAATATTCACGTTTCTTCGCTCCGTTTTCTCGAAATATAAGATGTAGGGAGAATCGAAATGTGTGCGCAAGACGTACCTTTTTAGCTAGATTCGTTTGCCAAAGATTCGCGCTTCCCCTTTCGATATTCTTTAGTATGCGAGTGTTTGCGATCGTTTCCAATTATTTCCGCGGCACGAAAATATCACAAATTAACTTAAAATTCACAGAAACTAATAGTATCCATTAGAATCCTGTTACATGCCGATCACCATTTCCTCGTTTGATCGTTCGATCGCTCGACTAATTATAGTTCCACTTATTCTCACGAATGCGTTCGAGTCGAGGGAATTTTCTAGCGAAACCGCATGTAACCAAAGTATCGATGAAAAGCCGAAGAAAGAAAACATTTTCTTCTGTGAATTTCTTTTCGATCAAAACGATGATTGCAAACCAACAAACCTATTGTAATTAATATACTATTCCTCGCACGTGTAAACGCTACAAATTTTAGTAAATTAAATAGTAAAGAAAAATCGTTGATTTAAACGATGATAATACATAGGCAGATATTTCAAGAACTAGTATTGATATCTATCGGTGATGAGCAGTCGTTATCGATCCATTAAATTACTTCTAAACGTCTCTCTAGGTGCAACGAAACAATTAACTATGAATAAAAAATAAAGAGGAAGACAAATCATGAAGTGTTTATATATCAGCACTTTGGTGCGCAACAATTACCTACACGCAGCCAGACACACACGCGCGCGCGCGCGCGCGCACACACACACACACACTGCATACATGTGTTTCTCTTGTATATGTAAAATAGGTATACATAGACTTGTGTACGTGTGCACATTTCTGTTTCTCGTTCCGTTTTTTTCCTTTTTTTTTATTTTTTTTTTTTTTGTTTTTCTTTGTTTTTAAGGCAAACTTACGTCATGGGGCATTATAAATATAATCATCGACTAATAATAATTAAGTAATCCTAAAAATAAATATCTATCACAAAAGACTGGTCTATAATATAAGTGGCTTTTGCGGGTTACGATAATTTCCCGTGTCAACATACTCGTTACTTCACCTCTTTCTCAACGACACTGAATCACACAGCAATTACGATGAATTCTTACCGTAAATATTTACAAATCATACGCCATTAATACGCTGTAACTTAAGTGTCGTTCTTCTGACAATTTATTTTTCTCGTAGCAAATACGACGATAATCATGTTCGTTGTTGTTCGTACACCTACTATTGTACACCAAGGTAGTAATGTTCATGTCACAATAGGATCGACGAATTGCACATTTTCTGTGCCACATATGTAGTTTGTTAACGAACGATTAAAACGACACTGTTTCACCTCGCGTAATTTTCCGATCATTTTTTTCTCTTTGCACACGACAAGAGACAACGTTCATGCACGGATTACGACGAATTAATCACGAGAGAAACATATATGAAACTTCTGGTTTTTAAACGGCACAATCTTCATTCTCGCGAACATGTCGTTCGTGATTTGTGTACCGCAATAACGGAGCTCCTACGTTCACCACTGCACTCGTATCCTCCTCGTTGTTCACGGAACATGTAACTATTTCCTCTGAAAATAGAAACATGCATATTGTGAAGGTAAAAAAGGAAAGAAATAGGAAAAGAGAACGGTGAAAAGGGCTATATGCTAAAAATCATTGTACATACCGGGTAAACATAATTGTAATTGATCGCTACTAGGATTAGTACTATCTCCTGTACCGCTGTCTTTACTATGCTGAGAACTCGTTTCTAGATATAAATGTGTTTGCGTATCAGCTACCGTAGCTGCTATAGCCGACGATGGTTGCACATTTCTACTCTGTGTAACAGTGTTCAACCGTCTTCTAGTTTGATAAATTATAACCACCCACACTATGGAGGTACCAACAGCACAACATACGACGGTGATTATTATCAAACCAAGTATATCATCTTCATTTACCGATACAGGACTAGGAGTTGAAGTTGGAGCTATAAGATACGTGACATTTTTCTATTAGGCGTCATTTCAAAATGCAGGAACTGAAGGAACAAAAAAATGTAACTTGTAGGAAGCATTTTTACCTGGCTTTACTGTCAAATGAGATGCACCAACAACGCTACCCAACGAATTGTTCATTTGACATTCATAATTGCCAGCATCGCTGGCTTTAGTATCAACAATTATCAATAGCTGATCTTCGGCGGTGAAGAAATGACGTTCAGTCGCTTGCAAAGGATTTCCGTTTTTGCGCCAAGAAAGCTTCGGCCTGGGCATACCACTTGCCATACATTCCAATACAATTGAGCCACCGACGGTTATTTCTTTATTCTCCATCGGTTTTACGAATGATGGTGTTTCTTTTGAGGAAAAACGAAAAAAAGAAAAGAACGGATACATAAATTCAACTGTTGATTGAGCAATATCTACACAAATTTCCATCGAATAGTTATATAAAAATTCACAACATTTACCTAATATCGTCAGAGTAACATTCGCAACGATTAGACCAGCAAGATTTTGCGCGGTACACGAATAAACGCCGCTGTCAGCAGTTTTCACGTCAACGATGAACAATACATCATCGGTTGGCATCATGTGCATTCTTCTTTCTCTTGCTGCTGGAAAATCATCACCGCCATCCTTTTGCCATGCTATTTGCGGGGATGGTTGCCCTTCCGCGGAACATTCTAGTTTTACAGTGCTTCCAGCGTTTACACGTATATCGCGTGAAATTTTTGAGAAAGATGGATAAACTATAATAAGTGAAAAACATGGCATTACTCACTTCTGGTTCCATACTGTTTGGGAATAATACGCCATCGTAATGTTCGTTAAATTACAACGAAAACTTACTTAAAATGCTTATCTTTGCCTTTGTAGAATATGTAGTTCCATATGTATTTGTCACCATACATTGATATTTTCCAGCATTTGCGTGAGTAACGTTAGTAAGATGTAAAATGGAAGAAGCCTCTGTCACGTTCTCCGTGGAATCAGTTTTTATTTGCAGATTGACATCATCCATTTCAACGTTATCGTGCTTCCATGTAAAATGAAGCGGTGCACTGGCAGTACTTGTTGCTCGACAAACCAGTGTCACATTGTCTCCTTTAATACCCATCTGACTTTTAGGTTCCTCGATGATTCTTGGCTTTGGATATTCATCTAATCCCCGTAGTGGTGCAAACTCTTGTTAATAATTTATCTATGATGGGGTCATATTGAAATTTGAAATCAAAGCTACACTAATACCAACCACACGTAAAATTTTTATGATGGAGTTGAGTCAAGGACATTTTTTTTAACCAGTGCGGGTATCCGCAATAAACTTCCGCATCGCTGTACCTATGTTCATGTAACCACATACTTAACCATTGTAAGCCACAGTCACAAACCAAAGCTCCTACGTACAAGGGAAGAAACATTGTAAACTAGCGTGACAAAGTTACGAACGCGTTTATACGTTCATACGTACTCGAATTCATCCTCAGTTTAGTTAGACTAGTCATTGAAACGAATGCATTTTCTTGAATACTCGTTATATCGTTCCCACTTAAATCCAACTCGGTAACACTACTTAATCCTGTAAACGCATTTTTGTGTACCGATTTTATCCTGTTATGCGCCAATCCTAATTTCCATAACTGTCCAAGTGGATCGAAAGCGCCATTAATATCTTCCACCAAATATGAAATTTTATTGAAGTTGAGTTCTCTTTAATGTAATAAAACGATTGTAATAAAAAGCTTGTGACTTTTACTGATTTACACTATACTATATGTACTATACATACAATATCTGCAGACTAGGAGTTGACCCAAATGCACCATCAAAAATGTAAGTGATTTGATTATGGTCCAATTTAAGTTTCTCCAATTTTTCCAAAAATTCAAAAGTGTTTCGTTTAATGATTGATATTTCATTATGTGATAGATCCCTGCAAATAAATTGTCAATCATAACTGAACGTCGCACTATATGCCGATTAATATTGCTTTACTGCTATCATTATTATCATACTATATGTACTTATTACAGAACAAAAATATTACTAACAGCTCCACGATTTCTTTGCACCTATCCCATGCTTGCACTTCAATGGTGTTTATTCGATTGTGCGATAACGTTAGTTTTTGCAAATGTTCTAGTCCAAACAAACCACCTTTTCTCACCATGGTTAACATGTTAAAGTCAAGTTGTAATGTTGTTAAATTTTCGAGAGGCCAAAACGCGCCATCGTCTAACGTTTCAATCTTATTTCTCTTTAAGCGTAACTCTTTTAGATTTGTTAAACCCTTAAGGCTAAGTCCCTGAATAGTCTTTAATTCATTTCTATTTAATTCTCTGAAAAATGCAATATAATATATTGATCATGATCATATTCACGAGTAATAGTAAACGATAATAGAACCATATTAAACGATTTCTCACAATATACGTAATTTCTTTAAATTCGTAAAAAGATCTTTCAATTGGGTCAAGTGATTTTTATTTAAACGTAGTTCCTCCAATGAAGTTAAGTTATCCAAACTTCCATTTTCAATTATCCTTATTTGATTCATGTTTAAATTTCTGTAAGGAAAGAAAAAAGAAAAATATTTTTATCTGATGCTAATATGTTGAAAGTACACAAATAAATAATTTCATACAAATGTGTAAGACAATTGGGTGCAAGAAAGGATCCGTTTCGAACGATGCTTATTTTATTTCCACTAATATCCAAATTTTGAAGTCGTTGCAAGGTGAGTAACGCGGTTCCATTTATGTCGCTAATCGAATTATGAGCTCTATAAAAACAGAATATTATTTTTCTTTATACGACAAAAGTTAAACATAAAAAGCAAGAAGAAAAAACTAAACTTTAGTCACATTCGGTAATGTGAAGAATATACTTACAATGCAAGATGCGTTATGTCTTTGACAAAAGACATGTCTGGCACTTCTGTTAATTGATTTTTATTTACTTTAAGCCCTTGCAAATGTGCAGCCACTGGTAAGGTGATCGAAAAGTTGTCTCCAAATTTATTGGCGCTAAGGTCTCTTAAATAATTAACAGTCAAAATGTTACATTAGAATTTAAGACATTTTCTTTAAGAAAAAATAATATATTTCTGCTCATGAGAATAGTTATCAAAGTTAAAAGGTACTCACAATTCCTTTAATTTAGTTAAATGTAACAATACATCTGGCTCCAAGCTAGCAATATTGTTCTCCTTTAACTCTCTGCAAAGACAAACAATATTCTTGACATTGATTTCTTTATCACTCTTTTTATTTTACTCGTACCCAAGATTATTTTATAATTAACGTACTCATCATCTTTTACTTTTTATGATCTCATGCCAGATATCTAGGAATATAATTATATATAACAGGAAATTCAAATGATATTGAAACATCAGAAATAAAGAACTTTTTATTTCATTCCTTGATCTTAAATGTCATAACGTCTCAAACAGCTCTGTTAATATATATTGTTACATACAGTTTGAAATTCTTGCCAATATGTCCAGAAAGAGAACCATTTCTTAACTATTTGATCTTACCATATTTGAAATAAAATTACCTTGATATAATATTTTGATAAGTTTCAAAATGATCTAATATGAATTACATTGTTCGACGAGTATAGAAGAAAATTTACAATTAAAATCTAGTTAACACTTAAATTAGTGATTTCTCCTTTAATTATTACACTAATAAATTATAGTCTAATAAACATAACAGAAAATTTTAACTTAACCAACAAATTATTTTGAACAGAAATTAAGTTTACAAAGAAACTTATCATGTATGAGTTGCCAGTAAACTTTTTAAAACCAGTTTCTATGAAGTCACAGGAAAAGTATCTATTTTGATTTATTTAATAAAGTCGATGTTATTATCACGTATCTTAATTTTCCTTTTACAAATTCGTGGAACACTATCTTATCTCGTTAGATCAAGTTACACTTCATATGTGTAGCTTATAGTTTTGAATCATAATGATAATTAAATATAAAGCAACGTTACGCGATTCCAGCAGCATTAAAAAAAAAATAAAAATATGACAGTAGATGATTTTCAAATGACAATCAGCGTTAAGAAGGGAAGAATAAATATCAGTCTCGTTGAATTTTCGGAATCGAGTAGAATGGAACGATCCGTGAAAGACAGCACGGCTCCGTGATGATAAACGTTCTTCTTGATGGGATAACAAGCGATTATTTACTTACAAGATCTCTGTCCATGGTGGTAATCCGCTGGGTGCTCCGATCAATTGTAAGCTACTGCAGTCCACCACATTCCCAAGGCATGCACACTCAACGGGACATTCATTATCCTTCGTACTATCATACGATATCCTGTCGGCGTTTGTAAAATTCGATGAAGTTACAAGTATCACCGATAACATAACAACCGTCCATTTGTATTTCCACACAAGTCGATGTATGAGAAAAACTTGTTCCGAATTCGACATCGTATGTATCGTCGTATCGTTCCGCTTAAAATTTATTTCGTAACTGTACATTGCATATCAATGGTTTTTTCCATAGCGATACGTAGAACAACGACAGCACTCTTCGTAAAAGCATCACCGTAATAATAAAAATGCCCACGTTCTATCGATTAAAAACAAACTTGTCTCTCAAAAACGCTTCAACCCACACACCATGATGACGCCCACGGACCGATGCGAGACTCCCTCACTGATTGCGCGCAGAGCTGCCAAACGTGCGCTACATTCCCCTACTTTCAACAGGAAAGTAGGAGAAAAGGACTGAGAGTGGGGAATGACGCGGTGCGGATCTGGGGATGGAGGGGCTGACAAAGGCGATGGAGCAGTGCCTGGCTTTCTTAAGAGGTCATTCTCATGTAAATGTTGCAAATTCCAACCATTCTCAAGGAATTATTTTTTAAACAAATGTTAATATGAAAAGAGTAATAACGCAAACTATACAATCGATCGTACAGCTTTTGAGATTCTACGTACGCGAATTGAAATATTTACATTTCAAGATAAACGTATTTAAAATTTGGAGTTTCAAATACTATATTATTACTTACTAAAGCTCTCACATGAGAATAACCCCTTAACGCGAAGATAATGTAGTTTACACGTTCACATCGCCTATCAAAGTAACATATTCCCACCCCTATTACCATTCGCCGCGTCAACGGTCGCGGGATGCAGGGTACGAGCAATATCATTTCCCACTCTTAAGTCCTTTTCCCCTACTTTTCTGTCAAAAGTAGGGGAATGTAGCGCACGCCTGGCAACTCTGATTGCGCGATATCGTTCTCTCTCTCTTTCTCAATCTTTATATCACTAGAAATTTATTTCCTAGCTAGTAACATATTTTATGCTTAATAACAAAGCCATATGTGTAACAAAAAATAAGAACGAAAATATAATTTAAACTTTCCACGGTGGACTACTATTCACTATGCACGAACGATATTCAAACGCAATAACAATATATTTGTTACAGCCACCAAAGTAAAACTTTGGAAATATTTAAATATTTAATATCGAAATATTATGTAAAACATAGAAATGTGTTTGCTTTAATTAATTAATTTTCAATGCAAACGTAGAGCAAAGATTCTGTTCATTTGTCTCAATCTTTTGTTTGTTGCAATTGTAACTAATACGGGGGTTTTTATCGAGTAAATTTCCAATTTGTTATCAAATAGTTTGACATTCGTTTAAACTAAGGATAGGAATTATTGAAAAAAATCTCAAGTTTTTACTAAATATTTATATTATTATTATTATTATTATTATTATATCACTATCTGTGTATTTATACTTTGTCAATAAATCACTATTTCACAGCATCACTTACTTTTCTTTCAAATAAATCAATAACATTATACACGTGAAGCTTCCACAAAACGTTAAAATATTTTCATTCAAGTAGGAAATGTATGTAAATATACGTACACGATTCTTAAAAGAATATATATACATTTATATTCTTCATATGAAATCGATCGAATCGTTAATTCTTTATTAATGTTATGCATTGAAAAACTACGATAACTGTTTTAATTTTTTATTATCACGAAAGTTTTATTTATAGGCTTTATACCCATGTGAAAATTTAAGTTAAATAAATTTCTCATCGTGCAACTTTTTCGTTCAAGTTACAATAATCATATCGAACTGACATCGACTGAGTTTAAACTGTTAAATTGTCCTTAGCTTCGTTTTCCCATTTATAGTTGAAATTTCATCTTAAATTGCAATGATAATATTCAACAAAGTCTCATTCTTTATGAATGTTTTTATAAAAATAAAGAATGAATTTCTCGTGTGTAGACATGTATTGACGATATACGATTGTTACTAATAATAAGGAGAGTCAATGGTAAAACATCAAAATAATCAATCATATTTAATTAATATATTGAATGAGACTTTGATAATTCCGTTGTCACTGCTTAAGACAAAAGCACCAACGCAAGAATACGTATAATGCACGCTAGGATCATATAAAAATTGTTCTAATCGAATTAAATTAACACAAGTCCTCGAATAATTTGAATGCAATATAACGATATGTGTATAAAAGAAATATATAAACGATATCCAACAGATAATAATATAAATATACAATCACAAGCAGTCCGTTTCCTTCGTGTGAAACAATTCGAAACGTGAATAAGAGATCGAAATACCAATACCTTTGTTTTGCATTTTCTTCAATTACAATGTATATACTATTCTCACGAGAAATATTATTCACATTCTAAGACCAGGTCAATCCAGGTTAGACCAGATCACGTTAAAATAAGAAACAATATGTTTAAAAATAACGGGATTAATTTTATATGTCGTAAGATATATTCCGAAAATAGGTTTTTCGTCTTTGAAAATATTAAATCATCGCAACTATGGTTAAAAATATACATAGTGTGATATTTTCTGATACATAATATTACTCATGATATTCACAATGCATGTAATTGTCTGTCACTACTTGACCAAACCACCAGTATCAAGTAGATGCTACTCTTTATTCAATTTGAAGTATTTTCAGTAAGATCTTACATCTTTCGGTTGCCTCACTTATTTAAGCATAAAATAGAGTCTTTTGCAGCCATATGAAAAGAAAGCTACTTTAGATTTAGCAGAAAATTAATAACTATGGTGATTGCTTTTTGTTCGTAAATACACTTTACTTCTTTTCAATGATCCACGTGCAGAACATAACCCTGTAAGAGGGAATGACCTATGTAGAAGACATTTGTAACAATTTATAATCCAAATATTATTATTACTCAGCATGCGAGCAGGTATGTCAAATACAATGGCAAATACGATCGACCATTAACAAGAAAAGGCCTCTCTGCTAATTAGAAGCCATTACGTGTGATAATAAAATTAATGGTTTTTTCGATTGCTCTGTACAGCATGATAATATAATTTGATTACCGATTAGCTATTCCATGTTCCTTCCTTCATGCTGTTAAGTGGTTGGATGATACGAACTAATCAATGCTGCATCTACTGGTTCCATGCATGATGGACAAGTCAAGGAACGCAGTAACCAATCGTCGATACATACAGCATGATAAGTATGCATACAGGGTAAATAACGCACTTCCTCTCCCACCTGGAGCTCCATCATACATATCACGCATTCTCCCTTTTTAGTCCCATCATATTCTCTCATAGGTAAATGTTGGATCAGTCCTATGCGTTTTGCTATTCTAACTTGTTGTTCTTCTTCGCTGCCTGTTCCTAGATTAACACCGATACCAATTTGTTGAAGATGAAGTTCCCTTGTAAATACCGGTGCATATGAAAAAGTAACTGCCTCCTGTGAAATCAAACATTGGTAAATTTTACTAAGTACAGCAAATTAATTTTGTAGCAGCAATGGATATTATCGATATTTCGAATAACAAAAATTTAAGCATTATTATAATAAAAAAACTCGATCATTAGATTTTGTCTCATATTTAGAAAAAAATGATGTAATAGTTAAACTAAACATAAATGAAATGCAAAAAATGAAAGAGACATAGTAGGTACGGTCGACATTGTCATAAATATAATGCGAATGATACGAACAACAGAATTGTAACGAATCGAGGTAAAGAAAGAAATGAAATTACATTGTTAGGCATCGGAGGTCCAAGGCCTTCTTGCAAGGAACCGCTAGTCAATGTAGGAGGATCAGGATTATTACTCAGCAAAGTGGTATTGTCCTGCTGACCGCTTCCAGCGCGTTTCAAACAATTTCCCATTTTGAAAAATCGACAACTCTAGCTTCGCGTTTCTCGATCAGCGTGCTTCGGTTCCTTAATCCCAACGTTGCGATTAAACGATCGCGATAATTTTGACGTGGGATATTTCGAGCCTTGTCCCCATCATAAATTGCTTGTTTTTTCACCGATACACGTAACAAAGTCCGTTTCGGTTTTCGAACGGATGACAGTTCGTGTCTCGGGTGAAAATCTGGTGTGTAAGCCTTTACCATCAAAACATCTTCCGTCGTCACATACCCATACCACAGCTGAGTGCCCAACGCATCTAACAAGATGTAACGAGAAAAAAAAAACGGGCCAGTTAGTCACAGGTTGTGAAAAAAACACTTTTCACATCCCTCGCGCGACGTTCTTCAAACGTTTAGTACACACCATCGCTTTCATCTTACTGCGTAGAAGATACCGCGCTGTGATTCGTCGTTACAAGCATGTCGCATTTTCCAACATCCAATCACCGAAAAACGATTCTGTGCGATACAAAGAGTTTGCAAAAAAGTATTACATACGTTCTGTTCAAAAGACACTCGGCAACTAACCTATGATTGGTTCGTCGAAATCGACATATGGTGAAATACAGTTTACGCTGTACCGTTAATTTAAATTTTCAGTTTCAAAACGTAATTTACGAACAATATCTAGTGATACCTAACGATATTATACTTTTTCGCAATCGAAGTGTAGCCATAAGTTTTCGAAATGTATTTAAGATATGTAATCATACTTCGATCATTTGTACACAAGGTTTCCCGTGTGAATTGACGTTATCGATAACTGTAGAACTGAAAGGGAAACAAGTTGCGGAAAACTGATGTTTACGTGAGAATTTATATCACATTTTGTAAAAATACTTGTTTATGTAGAACGCTTCTCTTGAATCGAAGATCAAAATTGTTTTTGTTACTAATAAACGAAAGAGAAAAACACTAACGTCGGTTTAAATTGTTTTAAAATCATGACTTTAAAAGTTACTTTCGAAACGATAAAATTTAAATTGTAGAAATGTATAGAAATAATAAAACGAGATAATATATTAGATTCTTATATTTGATTTATTACGTCGATATATTTTTGCACAGGTTGTGGTTCATCTTTAATCGTTCATTAAGTGGCATTTCTTATGGTATTTCCGTGGTGTATAGCGTGTACTTTTACATCATCTAGCGTTGCATGAATTTTATTACAAACTGTAAATTTCTCAATTTTGCCACGAAAGAAAGATCAATAATGATAAATTATGGGATGATATAATATTTGCACCACACCCTATCTATCTTGGAAAACATGTCGTTCAGTACATTTGGTACTCTCATCATATCTCATGATATGAGCTGAACAACCATTCGTGTTGATTCTATAATTCAGTATTCGTTGTGTACTCTTTATCATTACATATATACTTGTAATATATTCTAAAAAAGCGGCTTCTATCTTTGCATAATGTAGTAATTTTATGTCTTTCCTTTTTATGCTAATGAAAAGGAATAACATTGACTAACATAAAGAATAAATTTACAATTTGTTAAAACGAGACAAGCGAAAGACGCGAGTGATTTTTGTTGGACACAATTGTACATGCAATTCAATTTATTGCGTTTATAAACCGCACTCCGTTTAGCTTCGCTATAAATCAGTATCGCACATTTTTTTCTTCTTGGCTATATCCATTCTATTTATCACCAGTAAACTTTTGAGCAATCTAAAGAAAATGATGTTCACGGAATGTGCAAATTTTATCCTTAATATGTTGCTTAAATCGCATGGAATCTCAAATATCGTAAATATTGTATAAGTTTAGTAAACAAAGCGTTTACGTATTTTCTCGTTTTATTATTTTCACATTTTTATAACTTAAATTCATTTTTTCCTCCGTAAGATCACCTAAACGTCACGGTATTGTAGGCTATTGAACTCGTTTCGATGTCTATTGCAGCACGCGTTAATCGTAAAAAAAGAAGAAATTTCAGCATGCAAAAATATGTCGATGACCTTGAAAAATCTTTCAAGATGACCCAGACGCGACTTTCCGTTATCACAGATGCACGTCTTGAAATCATTTAAATCCTTCTGGCAGTGAGTCACATTTTCTTATCTGAAATAGTAACGGAAATAAATTAGATATTCATGAATTACAGCGTTATTACTAAAATCGATATACATATATATTATTATTTCTGTTTTGTTTTGTATAAAACGCAGAAAATCGTTTTTTGCGTTGTATCTTTGAATGTACACGCTTGTTTTAGGAAATGCAATTTATTTGACCGTTATCGAACAACCGATCGTATTTATAAGTTTTCAATCAGACACCGTTTACATCAACGATGATGGAGAATAATGACGACGACAATGCGTTAAACGATAAGTTTATAACCCGAGACGGTTCGTTGTACCAGATCTGCTTCAGCCGAAGCAAGGGATAAATTAGAAATGAAAAAATTGGAAAGGAAGAAAGGAATAAGGGGAATGTGTGAGTGCAATTATTAAGGATTGCAGAGAAAAGTAAAGAAAATAGCGAATAGAAAGAAAGCACGTTACGAGTATGGATGGACAGTGATTATGATGTAAAATGTATTCTCGAAGCGCAATATAAGAATCTTAGATGGTCGGGAAGGAACGTTGTCACATGGTTATCTTATCTAGTTATGACCCGTAACCCCTAACAAAAACGAAAAACAAGAAGACCTTTGATACCGATCCTCCCCCTCTGCGAAGAGTAGTAGCGTAGTTGATCCAATGTCACTGTTCATTCAATCAGAGAACACGGTTGAGGCAGGAAGCTTTTACTTAACCAATCTATATCGTAGCCATGCTTCGTACCAAGCGTTTACCGCCGCGCTCAGTTTTGCTGCACATCAATCTCTTCCTTAGTTCGATCTATCCGTTCGAACGGATGAACAGTGAACACCGTGTAAAATGTATTCTTGGAACTCGATGTAAGAATCATAGATGGTCGGAAAGGAACGTTCTCATGGTTATCTTATCTAGTTGCGACCCGTAACCCCTAACAAATAAGAAGAGCAACAAGACCTTTCGTACCGATCCTCTATCCCCTCTGCGAAGTGTAGTAGCGTAGTTGATCCGATGTCAGTGTTCATTCGGTCAGTGAACACGGTTGGGGCAGGAAGCATTTATTTAACCAATCTGTCGCAGGAAGTATTTATTTAAACAATCTGTGGTGTTGTCGCGTCCCAGTCTGTTTTGCACTTCGATCTCTTCTTTAATTCCATCTCTTCCCGCTCGAGTAGTGATTTTTTTCACACTGCTCTAAAATAACGAAGATCCTTCTTCATTGCGGACACAAGGGGATGAAGGAAGCGAGCGACATCGATGAACGAATAACCAGACTTCAGTCCCGTTATCGCAATCAGCAATATGATTTGGAATCAGAAAGGACCGAAGGACCATGCAACCATATTTCTCCTCGTTGCTCTCTGCCTGATTCTCGGCGCAGCACAGTCGGGTAATTTCTTTCAACAGTCAATTTCTTTCAACAGTCGAATCTACGATTGGCACACGATGAAACGAAGTCGAATGAAATTCGCTCATGGGATAATATGTCGATAATATATACGTGTCAAATTTTTTCATCGTTCGGTTATCTGTACCGCGTGTTATTCAACTTTTCTTTCCGAGAATTAACGTACATCGAATCCGCGATTCGCGCATATCGGTGAAGCCCCTTATCGGTAAAGTGCAACAAGTGTATACCGTATTCGCAAAAATCACAACAACAACGTGCTACATCGATGTTTAACTTTGTCATTGCAATCTCGTTACAGAAATTGTCAAAGATCCAGCGTTGTGCGGTCGAATGAAATGTAAAGGTAAACCACTCGATTTAAAGATTATAATTGATAAATGGAAAATCTAAGCGAATGATTGACGTTGGTTAATGTTTCCAGTAACGGATACGAAGAAATTCAAATACGAAAAGAACGTGTCATACTGGTATCGATATTCGGTGGATGTAAGCACGAATCTAGGCATCGTAAACACATCGTTGTTATCGTCGTCTTCGTCGTCTTCGTCGTCTTCGTCGTCGGATTTTCTTGGCAACGAGTCAACGTTGCGACTGGACGCGGATTTAGTCATTCGCTTTAACAATCCTTGCGAGGGCAGCTTGAAATTCGAGAACGCGAGTATAAGTCATGATCCCCGGAAGTACAATCCGGAATTTCCCGATCGTGCTGGCGCAGAGTTCAAAGTGAATTTGGAACGTTTCGCGTTGAGGTTTGCCTTCGACGATGGACGAATAGACGAACTATGCCCGAACAAACGTGATCCTGTTTGGGCGCTGAACTTGAAGAGGGGCGTGTTATCGATGATGCAAAATAACATGCATAGATTCGACGTAGATCGTCGTACGAACGAACTCGATGTGAATGGCATCTGCGAGACGAATTACCGTTTGCACGAGGCAAGACGCACCAGCCTGATCTTGAAGAAAACGAAGAATCTATCGAACTGCATGCACGGGTCGAAACATTTCTCTGTGATTCGTTCGAACGTTTATAGAAGTTCTCGATCGGGTTCTCGCGGTCCTTACCATCCGCTTCTCGAATCTCGAAGTGATTGCGAGTTAACTATCGACCGTAACATCTATGAAAAGATCGTGTGTAAAGAGCTGCATCGATTGCAACCGCTCTCAAGTGGCAACACAGGGGCGAGAACCGAATCGACAGCGATTCTTCGGTTGATCAGAGAATCCAAAGACGATTATGGCTATGCCAACGAGTACGAGCAAAGCAACGAGTACCAAGCAATTGACCAACCGGACGAGGAAGAAGATGAGGAAAGAGAGGAAGAGAAATTCATTCGACAATCGAATCGCGTGAAGAGAATCAGTTTGTTATACGATTACTCGAGAACACCGAGAACCGTGCACGGTGAATTGAGAAGTGCCAGAGACCTGTTGAAACTTCTCTGTAAAGTAGGAATGAGCACAGACGAATTGCAGCAACGATTTTCCGAAACGTTCACTGCGTTTATTCAATCGGCACGCCTTCTCGATTATCCGTCCTTGTCGCAATTGTTTGTCAGATCCTACGGTATTTGCACCACTGGCAAGTGAGTAGCGTTAAATTTTCACGAAAAATCGCGCACGATTCAAACTTTCGCGCAACATATTTTTCATCCATCTTCTTTTCTTCCATAGAAAGCATATTATCGACGCGTTGCCATTCATCGGCAGCAATGCAACTCTGAATCTGATGAAAGATCTGATAATAAACCGGTACGTCGATCAGGCAACCACCGAGAAGTGGGTAATCGCATTCGCGTTAGTCCCGCGACCAAATCAGGACATGATCAAGATTCTATCATCCCTTCTCGATTTTCATCAGCAAATTCCAGAAACTCAGTTCATCTTGAGCTATTCCGCAACGATTTACGCTTTCTGTTCCACCCATGACACTCGATGCGTTAATGTCGAACAGGTGACTCGTTTTCTCTCATACCTGGAGCAGAAAATCGAGAAAGGATGCGCACCCCGACAGCATTCGCTTTCTACGGTT